GGGGGGGGGGGGGGGGGGGGGAGGGAGGGGCGTTTTGTTCAGTGGGGCGTAGAAAATATTGGCTCGGGAAAGAAGGATGGAGCTTTTGAGAGGAATCTCTGGATTTGTAAGTATCCACTGGACGAAGTTGTAGCGCTATAATGTCCAGAAATATCCACCTTTTATTTTAGTATGATCATCAGAACAGGTTGGATTGCTATCTTTTGTGTTCTATTTGTTTCATTGTGCGAAACCAGAGTCAGACATAGTGAAAACGTACATTAGCATTTTACACAATCTACAAGAACGCAGAGAGAGAGAGAGAGAGAGAGAGAGAGAGAGATAGAAAGAGAGAAAGAGAGAGAGAGAGAGAGAGAGAGAGAGAGAGAGAGAGAGAGAGAGCGTTTTTAACAATTTAATTTTGGCAGTTACCGTATTTATCTGCGGGTAACACACACTTTTTCGCCCTGAGAAAAGCGGGGGGGGGGTGCAAATGATGTGTGCGTATTATACGCCTATATAATGTTTAGTTTTTTTTCCTGAAATTCCTTCTTAAAATGAGGTGCGTGTTATACGCCGATAAATACGGTAATTCAATAAGGTTGAACATATATTTTATCAATTAAATTTTGTTAGTTGATTGCAGCAAGTATTGATGTAAATATACAAATTCTTAGATTGGATTTGTAAAAAGAAAAAAAAAGAAAAAAAAAATGAAAATATTGAATTTGAATGGAATAAATTAAGAAACTATGCATTACATTATGACATCAATACTTGGAAGGTAGGAAAATCTGTGCATCTAACTATGATATCAATACTTGGAAGTTAGGAAAATCTGTGCATCTAACTATGACATCTACACTTGGAATGTGGGGAAATTGTGCATTCACCTAAAAAATTTAACTTGGACGGGTTGGGAAAACTGTGCATTTAACTCTGACACTTAACCTTGGAAGGTGGGAAAATCATGCATTCATGTACGGCATCTACACCTAGAAGATGGAAAAATTGTGCATTCATGTATGACAAACTTGGAAGGTGCAAAGACTTTCTCCCCATATTTCTCTCTCTCTCTCTCTCTCTCTCTTTCTTTCTCTCTCTCTCTCTCTCTCTCTCTCTCTCTCACACACACACACACACACACACACACACACACACACACACCCCCCCCCCCCCCCCCCCACACACACACACACACACACACACACACACACACACACACACACACACACACACACACACACACACACACACACACACACACACACACACACACACACACACACACACACACACACACACACACACACACACACACACACACACACACACACACACACACACACACACACACACACACACACACACACACACACACACACACACACACACACACACACACACACACACACACACACACACACACACACACACACACACACACACACACACACACACACACACACACACACACACACACACACACACACACACACACACACACACACACACACACACACACACACACACACACACACACACACACACACACACACACACACACACACACACACACACACACACACACACACACACACACACACACACACACACACACACACACACACACACACACACACACACACACACACACACACACACACACACACACACACACACACACACACACACACACACACACACACACACACACACACACACACACACACACACACACACACACACACACACACACACACACACACACACACACACACACACACACACACACACACACACACACACACACACACACACACACACACACACACACACACACACACACACACACACACACACACACACACACACACACACACACACACACACACACACACACACACACACACACACACACACACACACACACACACACACACACACACACACACACACACACACACACACACACACACACACACACACACACACACACACACACACACACACACACACACACACACACACACACACACNTACTTGAAATAAAGTCTGGCATTTCGGGAGAACATAGTACACAATAATATTACTTGAAATAAAGTCTGGCATTTCGGGAGAACATAGTACACAATAATATTACTTGAAATAAAGTCTGGCATTTCGGAAGAACATAGTACACAATAATATTTCTTGAAATAAAGTCTGGCATTTCGGGAGAACATAGTACACAATAATATTACTTGAAATAAAGTCTGGCATTTCGGGAGAACATAGTACACAATAATATTACTTGAAATAAAGTTTGGCATTTCGGGAGAACATAGTACACAATAATATTTCTTGAAATAAAGTCTGGCATTTCGGGAGAACATAGTACACAATAATATTTCTTGAAATAAAGTCTGGCATTTCGGAAGAACATAGTACACAATAATATTACTTGAAATAAAGTCTGGCATTTCGGGAGAACATAGAACACAATAATATTACTTGAAATAAAG